TTTGCTTTACTTTCTTCCTAATCCAGTGTAGGTTCCACAGTCTGTATTTCAACCACGTTCTAGCTAAAATTGAAACTCACTTATTCCCAAGTATTTGTGCCACAATCTTCTGATTAAACTCCAGACCTGGATCTACTGTTCTTTCCCTGGAACATCATTGGAGAAAAGGAGGAATTTATTGGTTCTGCTTTTAAAAATGTTGATACGTAGCCACAAATGCCTGGAAGGCTCACTGGATTTCTTAGGTTTAACTCCCTCTTACAGTCTTTGTCACAGCTAATCCAATTGCTCCCACTTACCTTGAATTCACGTTTTTGTTCTGTAAACATTCACTGTACACCTTGTATTACATGCTATAACAGGCAGTGCACACTGCCAGCTCTGTTGCATCGTATTTCACAGAGGACACAGCAGCCTCCGCAAACATCTCTCAACTTACTCTTTCTTATCTTCCAAATTGACCTTCCCTGTCTTACAGTAGGAAGGGTCTCTTAACTGTCAAGTCAGAATTGTTCCCTCAAAAATACTGTTCCCTCGCTAATAGATAATTCCTTTCTTTTGTTGCAAAAATGGTTCCATGCATAATTCGAAGCATATATTTGAACAAATCCTGAACTACAGAAAGATAAGCAAAGATACGAAAGGCAATTTAATTTTATAAAAAGAAGAAAAACCTGACATATCAGCTTATACATCATTCTAAGTCAGTACTTTTATATCTATAATCAAGCAATATTTAATGAAGTGAAAATTTCGCCTGCACGAAACTAGTCATAATACAATTAGGCTTGGTTTGCTCTTTCATGAAGAACATATTCCAGATGTTTGAGTGATTCAAAGAAAACCCAGAGTATAATGGATCCCTTCAATGTTTTCTCACTTGCTGCTTCCAAAATAGACTAAAAACTAGTAAAACTCTGTTAACTGAACTTTTTGACATTTTGGGACTGTTTAATTATTCAAACATAAATTTATATTGGCAGTATTGAGGGCTCTAATATTTGAAATATGGAATCCAATGTTACATCTACTTAAGGGACATAGGACCTATATTCCCCATTTACATATGCTTTGTGATTCAGCATTGAGAGACTAAATTTCTTGTCATGTATGTTTTTTTAGGTGCTGACAATTGTCATTAGTCAGCCATCCTTGGGTCATATGCACCTGCTGCCAGAAGCTAGGTCAAATGCCAAAGTGAATATTGACTTGACTCTCTTGCTTACTTTGTCATTTATCTTTTCTACCATGAATTGTCTCCATATCTCTACCCTTATGTGCTCAAAGTCCTCATGATGATTCCTAGCTGGATGAATTCCTGTGATCTTCTCAGGCCCCTCAGATACTTCTCAAAGTGACCCTTCTCCCAAATAATCATTTCTCAACCGATCTCTCCCAATCAACAGACACATTATTATATCCCTCAATAGAAATCAAAACATTCAGATTGAACTGAACACTTGGCTGTTTTTCTCAATTGGTGATGGGACTTGTAGCAACAGGACTTGTAGTAAATAATGATAGTAGTAAAATTTTTTACTAGATACTCTCTCTGTCAGGGCACTGAGGATCTACAGGTCAACAGTTAATGGAAAACGTCACTTAAATGAAGGGATCATTAAAATATGGTTTAAACATTTTATTTGAATTTAAAATAGTCATTAATATTTTAGTGTTATCTGAAGGCTTTTACTTTCAGGGGAGATTCACTGACTGACCTCCTCTCTAAGTCCTACCTATAATACAAACTTTGGTTTGCCCGTTTCAGTTTCTTTAATGCAGAGGGAGCCCCATTGGGGAACATGAAAAATATTCCCCTCTCCCATGGAAAGATGGAGCATTTATTTATTCACCTATTCTTAATTTTATTAGTATGTATCAGCTACACAGAACAGTGGATTTTCTTTGGCATATTTATATATGCATGTAAAATACTTCTGTGCTTTCCACTTCCCATCACCTCTTGCCCTTCTTTCTCCCCTCCCCCACTGTCTTCCGCCTCTCTAACAGTCTGCCTCCTACTTCCATGTCACCTCTGATAAGCATTCCAAATATAGTCCTCCTAAACTCTTAGGTTGTTTTTCTACTCTTTTACGTTTTTCTCATTCACACTTATTTCAACAATATTTTTTCTTCCTCTTTTTGAAATAAATTTCCATAATATTGACCTGCTTTTCATAGAAATAATAACATTTTTTCTCTTTTGATAAATAGTTCTTTGATTTTGGAACTCTCTAAATTACATAACTTCAATACTCACAGATAAAAATAGGTTTGAGAACATACCCACTACTGACATCTCGCCTAGTGGGAGGAGAGACATACATACGGAGGCTTCCTCAAACATTTTTATTTTGAGGCTGTCAGAGGATCCAGGAAGTATGTTTCGGGAAGAAATTAAGACTGGCTAGTCTGGTGAATCTAGAATTTAGATCACTTCATAGAACTTTAGCTATCACTGCTAGAGAGGAATCAAAAACAAACCCAAAACAAGGGCCCTGTGACATTGTAGAATTCAGGGCAGCAGGGGAGACTTGTCAAAAAAGAACAAAACAGAAGGAAATGGAAAATATCATGAAAAATAATTGGTACTTATTTGTTCATCTCCTTCTTGCTCTAAAACATTGATGGAGAATAATAATCTATTCCCAGGATCTTGAGAAATAAATTTAAAATCAAAATATTCTGACAGAAGAACATTGGGACATGTGCATTATTTAACATAAAGGGAGAAGAAATCTAGGTATGACTTAACTGGATGGATACTCTGTGGCTGAGCACCTGGCTAGGGAAGGCAGATGTATCGCACAGAAAGTGCACCCGTAGCACAGCTGTCTCCATGGTGGGTCCTATTTCCACTTTCCCTGCACATATTGATTTCTGCTTACTACAAATGCATGTTATTATCTGCAAGAGAATGATTCCATTTTGAAATCATTGTCCTTTAGGTTTCTCCACTGACATTTAAGAAATCTGATTCCTAATCTCTATTACACACAACAACATGATTATGGTTCATTTACTTTCAGAGATACGAATTCATATATGAATTTTAACTCATTTTCTACTTGGGTACTTAATTCTGATTCTTTTAATACACGTATTTACTCATAAAGAAAGGGAATAATGTTTATTGTTCACCCTATAAAACAGTTTCAGTGATATTCCATAATGTTAAATAAAGCTACTGAATTTTGGTGCACGTATATGGTTGGTAAGTGCTCTATTTTTTACTAATATGTAACCAACATACCATCAAATTGACTCTTTCAAAGCATACAATCCAGTGTTTTTTACCATATCCTCAGGGTTGTATCACTATCTCCACTAGTACTAGAACACAAAAGAAACCCCATGATTTTAGCATATATTTCTTAATGACCACTTTTTAAAACCTTAAATTGAAGACAGCAATTATCACAGTCTTTTATCAAATAGCCATATAAGAGTTTTATACTCTAGATAGCACCACATTTCAGGGGTTAGATATTCTGGCTGATTTAAAAAGATAATATTGTTCTTATTCTGCACATACACACTGGCCTGCATTTGGAATGAGAGGATACACAAGGGTTACAGGTGAGGTCAGTGTAAACAGTGATTTTATCAACACACTGAATCAGACAGAAATAATACCTGCGCAGATCAAGTAAGTCAAAACAGCACGTAAAGTCAAGTAAGTGATACTGTCCTTGTGTGCAGACATTACATTACACAAACTGTTCTCTAAGCGAGGGAATTTGTCCCTTAGAAATTGCTCACTGGAACATTTGGACATCATGTATCATGTTAAAGATCCATAAATGCCATCTCGATAGGGTAGCTATGATGCATGATAATATTCTCCCCATATCTGCATAGGGTTCTTCTTCCCAACAGATTGCCATGATGCATGGCTTCAGAGACTCCTGCTCTAGTGCTTCAGAGGCAGCCAAGAAGCCCCATGGGAGCCTTCTAAAGCCATTGCTGCAAGAACTAAAATATCAAGAGAGCGGGAAGTCATTCCTAGGCCTTGACAAAATACCCTCCTCCCTAAATGAAACTATTTGTTATATGGTTAGTGCAAAGTATGAATCAATATTTTACGATCAAGTGTTATCTTTTTACTGTAAAAAATAAGGACCCATTTCTGCTTGTGAGATGAGTATGATTTAGAATATAGCAGCACTGTATTTTTCCAGTTACTTTGCCAATCCAGAATTTCTTTAGAAGGATATATGATATAGTAGTTCAGCATATGTACTCTGGAGAAATATCAACCTGTATAGGTATCCTGGGTTGTCTATTTTACCCACTGCAAGCGTGGCAGTGTTGAACACCTGCAAGTTTATTTTCTTGTGTGTAAAATGAGAACTCTCCAATTACCAACTTCATACAGTTGTTGTGTAGGAATGAAATTAAGTCTACGTGTGACTAGAGCTTATTATACCCTTAAGCCTATAGGAAGTACGCAATAATATCAGACATCATCCATCCAGTAACAAATATCCTATTGCTAGAATATCACCACCATGGAGTGCCTTAGTCCACTGATTTGCTACAACAAAAATACCATCAATTGAGTGGCTCATAAATAATAAAAATCTATTTCCTACTTTTGCAAAGGTTCAAGTCCAAGAGCAAGACACTGGCAGTTTCAACATCTGGCAAGGGTCCATTCTTTACAGACATCCCCTTCTCACTGTTTACCTACATGGTTGGAAGCAAACTGGCTCTCTCAGGTCACTTTTATAAGGACCCTCATTCCAAAATTCACCTGCCCAAATCCCCACCTCCTAAAACCATTCTCTTAGCGGTTAGCATTTCTTTTTTTGTGATTATTTAGTTTTTAGGCTTTCAACCTCTGAATTTGAGGGAAGCCCAAATAGTCAGACCATAGCATAGAATAAACATCAGCGACGATGTACCCCAAACAGAATGTTACATGCTCTGCAGGTATCTCTATTTCTTTGCTTTATTAAAAAGCCTCATCTTCCAATTTGCTCTTGACTGTTTCACAGACACTTCGTGGAGAAATCACACCTCTTAAAGAGAATGTGAGTCATGTCAACGACCTTGCTCGCCAGCTGACCACGTTGGGCATTCAGCTCTCCCCATATAACCTCAGCACTCTGGAAGACCTGAACAGCAGGTGGAAGCTTCTGCAGGTAGGCACATTTTAACCATTGTAGTTCTTGTTACAAGAAAGACACAGATACCTAAAGCTTGTTTGTAAGGGATAGTAAAAACACCTTCTTAATTTAATGGTCACAGTAATGTTTAGTGATGATGGAGCATTTTATATTATTTCATAGATTCAGTAGTACATCTTTTTAAACTACTAATGTGATTTTTGCAAATGGCTGAAGTTAGACTTTATGTTTGCAGGAAATGGGGACAATAAGGTTGAATTATGATGGAGGAACTGAAATGATAGCAGACAATTCCTTTGTACTATGATTGCTTGGATTATTAAAACATCTTTCCTTTTAGGACCTTAATTTAAACAAGAGTCAATAGTAACATGTGTTCTCAAATCATGTTTTTCAAAGAGCATCCTATCATAAACCCACCCTGGAAAATTTTCATAGGTTTGCATAATAAATTCAAGGGATATAAGTGTGTTCAAAGTCACACACTAGCTGTGAGATCTTCAAAAAACAATTGGGATAATAAAATTCCCTACGGCATCAGTTTGTTATCAGGATAACTAAGTTATAGTAAATGTAAAGTGTTTGGAACAGATACTGCTCCATAGCAAATGCTGTATAAATTCTAGTTCTGCTGTTATTACACTTAAGATTATTATTCTAGACCACAGGTTTTGGAATCTGTCTTATTTAAGGCCATTTGATCTATTTCGTTGTCACGTCCCTCCTCTCCAACAGAGGTATTATGATTTTTTTAATGTAACAGTAGTATTTATTTATTTATTCATTTATTTTTGTTCCAGGGACCAACCCACTGACCTCACACTTGCCAGGCAGGCATTGTCCTGCTGAGCTATATCCTTAGTCCGCTGTAATGTTGAATGAACTAATACATATAAAGTTCTTTCTGTAGCACTTGGCTTATGATAATAACTCAGAAAAGGGTAGTATTGTGGGAAGAGTTTGCATCTTGTATATTCCTTCTGTGGGAGACTCTGTGTTACACCCCCAAACTAAAAAAGTGGTTTAATCTTAGAAATACAGAATCAATTTTTCTCCTTTGCCAACTTCATAGGATAACGATAGTATGCTCCTGAGGACAAAGAAAAAATTAGGTTTAAACATACTCACTGTCAAAATTTTAATAAGAAAACATGATAAACCACTTTACTTTCCAATCGACAGTCCATTTAGGAGTGTGATTGAAAGTTCTGTTAAAGAGTTGCAAGATCTGTAATAAAAACAAATTCAAAATTCAAAAGCTCTTGAGATTGCATACAATTTAATTTTTTGTGATAGTGTTGAAATATTTGTATAGTAGATTGCTATAAGTGGAATTGACTAAAGCAGCACAATGCAGTTAAGTGATTATTTGCCTTTCAATATCTTTCTGGTCCAATGGTTGAGTACTATTAAAATCTTACCAGTTTCATCCTTAGGATGTTTTGCATTTTATACATGGATGTGGAAAGTAGTAAGTGTCCGAAGACAAACAATGGCGCCTTTTGCTCCCTTCAGAATTATGTTTTAAATTTTCTTTCAGGGGCCTGAATGCTGTTTTTTTTCAGGATATGATACAAAATTTGTGATAATTGCATGTAAATTTACAGATGAGGCCAAAAGATAATTGAGACAGGCGGTACATGCCTACAATCCTAGCATTCTGGAAGACTGAGACAGGAGGATTTTAAGTTCGAACCCAGCCTGGGAAACTTAATAACTTAGTGAAACTCTGTCTTAAAATTTAAAAGCGTGAAAAGAGCTGGGGCTGATTCTAAACAAAAAAGAGACTAAGAGATGATCAGGAGGGAAAGGAGTTGAAGAAAGAATTAAGATGAGTTATGTACACGAACCAGCAATGAGATCATTATGCACTATAACCATGTACTAAAAAAAAATAAAAATTGAGGGGAAAAGGTGGGGACTGGGGATATAGTTCAGTACAGGGACCCTGGGTTGAGTCCTCAATATTGAAATGAATAATAGGAAAAGAATTTTTTAAAAATAAATAATAAGTAAAATAAGGTGGCACACGCCTATAATCCCAACACTAAAAGCACTGAGGCTGGAGGATTGCCTTGAGTTCAAGGCCAGCCTGGGCTATAAAGAGAGTTCAAGCCTAGCCTGAACCAAATAGTGAAACCCTGCCTCAAAAAAGACCAAAAAATGAATCTATCAATAAATAATGGTGAATGAGCCGCTCAAGTTGTACTACTTAAATGTAAACATAAGAAAGTATTAATAGCCTGGTTGTACATGCTGGGAACACTTGTAATCCCAGAACTTGGGTGGCTGAGGTAAAAGGACCACCATGGATTTAAGGTCAGCCTGGACATAGTTGAGTTCACGGGCTGCCGGAACTATATAGAGAGACCTTGTGTCAGAAAACAAACCAAAGAAATGTTAATAGCCTACTTTTGATCCAGTCTCTAAAGTGAATGAAAACTTGGCTCTCTTAACTATAAGTGCAGGGACTTACATGATATATAGTAAAAGGAGCATTAGTTGGACTATTTGGAGGTCTAGTTTTAAACTGAAACTCAACCATTATTTGACCATGTTGTCTTGGCATAGTTAGTTAACCTTTCTCAACCCAAGTTCTCATTTTTAAAAGCAGATTATCTGTTTTGTTTAAGGTCCATTCACTTCATTTCTGTGATTCTGTATCTGGATATCTAGGGGAGGCTCACATATGACTAAATTTAGTTGAGAAGTAATGAAGATGTTCTTCTTCTCATAATATTGATGTGGCTTGTTGGAATTGTTTCTCCTGCAATTCTAAATCTTAAACCCTTTACCTAACACCCACATACACACAGCCTTCTCACATTAAACAGTTCCATCAGTTAGTGGTAGATGCTTTTATTGTAGGAAATTTCACATATTTCTATTTTTGAACATGACTTTAAAGATGCGCTTTGAAAGTATTTTAGCAGGAAATTGGTAAATCTAAAGTTTTGATTTATGCATAACCAAGTTAATCCTATTTTTTAGACCATAATTCCAATCACTGTGCTATATAATAAATTCGAGTCCTTGGTAGATAGGCAACAAAGCAAAAAAAAAAAAAAGATTTATATCAAAAAAATTGATTCACATTATTGGAAGACCAACTCATAGTCTTGCAGAGAATATTTTACATTTGAAAGATTACATGTAAGACGAAAGAGTCATCTAGCTTCTAGGGCAAAAATCTTGAGCCCATCACCATTATAATATCATATTTATATGAAAATAATTTAGTCATTTTCAGTGCTATATCAGTTGGCTAAAATCATGTTAAAACCATGTATGAGTTCATATTTGTGCCTGCCATGATACAAAAATTCAAGAAATAGAAAGTTAAAATAGTAGGAAGGCAAATAGGTATAAACCTGAGTAAATAAAGTAGTCTCAACTTTGGGTAAAATAGTGTAACAAAAGGAATAGTTACATATTCTCAGACTTCATCTTTCTTGATATCAGAATATCCTGGATTTAGTCACATGACACATTAATTTTAATTTAAAAAGAAAGCCACACTGGTATTTTAGCTCTGTAAGATCTGGGAAGATGGTGGAAACAGGTAAGAAATACAGATATAAATGTCAATAGTAGAGGAAGACTGAGTCATAGACCACATATATATAGAACAGTGTTTGAAGGGGCTGTATTCCCTTTGAGTCTACAAATAGAAGTATAAGAGATGATTCTTTGCCCATTTGAAACTTTCCATGAGAATAAAATTGTATTTTCTTTTTTCAGAGGGATCATTGGTCTGAATGTTACTGACTGACAGACACATTTGATAGTGTTTATGGCCTAGAAACTATCATTCCTTCCTTGCATTTATAAACAGTTCCTACAAATTCTGTAATTTAATCCTCATAAGACTATGACCACAATTACATATTATGATGATTCACTTTTACAAGGAACTGACAGTAAGTGACACAGGCACAGTCATACAGCTTGTACGTGTCAGTCAAGAGTTGAATAAGGTCTTATGAACTGTCCCTTTTGTTTCCTTGTTTTAAAGCTCTATTAAGTTTGGAATTTTAAAAAGTCATGCTTTAAAATCATTTTTGGCTGCACATGTGTGAAATACTTCACTCCCCCCGCCACTTTCCCCCTTTTTCCGGTACTTCTCAGGGATATTAACTTTGAAATCTTCCTTTACCAAACCAATAGATTAATGAGCCCAGTTCATCGTACCCCTAAAAATCACACTTGTAGTTTCATGTATAAAATTTTAAAGCATTATATTCCTCATCGCCTTAAGAACTCAGCCATTTTAACAAAATCAACCAAAAGTGATTTCATGAATTAACTTTTAAAGGAAAATCTTCTTACATTTGAACAAGTAGAAATGAATACCAATACCAACTGGATTGAGTAAGACAGTTAAGATGAGAAACTCATGCCATTTGGAAGCGGGGCACGTGCCTGGGCGGCGTGGTCACGCTCCTTCTTCTCCAAGCACACGCACGCACAGCACGGAAGGGAGCACACTGCCATTTCTGTATGCTCACGAGCAAATCCACAGATAGCAGCAGAAGCTACAGATCCACTGTAGCATAAGGAGCACTTGCTTTATTGACTGCAGGGACTTATGGAATGTGAAAACTTGAAAAAAATGAATAATACGGAGGCATTTCTAGGTATGAAATCTTTTAAAATATGTTAAAGAACAGCGTCATGAATTATGGATGCATTTTAAAGGTTTTCTGAGAGTCTTCTGAAGTCACGCAGACTTCATTATACTCCATCTGCACAGCACTGTGGTAACTTTCTGTCACAGGGGCCTAGACCCTCGTATTCTGCACAGTTTATTCCTTCTTTTTTCACGTACTGCTTAAGCATCTACTGTATACCAAGCATAGGTGGTAATCATCCTATTTGGCCCAAGAACATATTGATGAAAACTCCTTTTACTCTCTGTACCATCTTAAGGAAAGTTTTATACATGGGTTTTCTTTTCATTGCTTCCATAATAGTCCACCGCTCACCTTCCTCCATGCTATAAATAACAACAATAA